AGCAGGAGGAGCAGGGTAGTGTTACGCCGCGTCGTGTGGGTGTTGCTGGTGCTGGGAATGGGAATGGGAATGGGAAGCAACCGCTTAGCACGCCTAGGAAGCGAGTCAAGGCCTCCCCTGCGTCGTCCCAGATCAGGCGTATCTTCAGTGGGAGTGTTGGTGGAGCGCGGGATGGGGCGCGGTGGGCGGGTTTGGGGGAAAGTGAAGAGGAGGATGAGCATGATCAGGACGATTCAGGTGAAGAGGAAAGATATGCGAATGGGTATGAGCAGGATGGGGAGCGGACGCCTGGTCGGGTGGCTGGTGGGAGTGCTGGTCGGAATGGACAGGAAAGCGTTGAGAGGAGGAGGATCTCGTCTTCGTCGTCGCCTCTCAAGTTCCCCATGTCGGATGAGGATGGGGATGAGGATGAGGGGCGGGAGATGATGCAGCGGGAGCTGGGCGCTGTGACGAAAGGGAAAGGGAAAGCACTGAATGGGAATGGGAATGGGATTGTGGGCGAGGGTGATGTGTTTGGGTATGAGCGTGGTCCTACTACATCCTCGCCTCCCAAACCTCTATCAGATACGGATGGGGTTGATCCCAGTCTGTTAATGGGGTCAGGGAGAACCGACGATGAAGATAGTGACGGACATGATTATATAGGCGACCGCCAAAGTCGTCTACGGGACTCGAAAACCAACCAACCAGCCGACGCACAGACACTCGAACGACAGCGACAAGCCGCGCGCCAGCTGGAACGCCAGGTCCAATGGGAGCGGGACGTGCACAATGCGCTTGACCTGCTGGAGAAGCTGCTGGAACCCGAGGCTGTTAAAAGGATAACACCCGCTGGGGCGCTGCAGCACGAGTTTTTTGCGAGTGCGGTGGATGGGAGGGTGGAAGATGATGATGATTTTGTGCCGCATTTGGTTGGGGAGGGAGTGTGTGGTGCTATGCATTTTGTGGATGAAGTTACGGAGCAGCCGGGGGTTATTTTGAGGGTTAGGAGGGTGTGTCTTTGTGGGTGTGGGGTTGAGGGGTGTGTTGGGGGTAAGAAAGATAGGAAGGACGATGGGGAGGGGGAGGGAGAGGGAGATGGCAAGAAGAAGAGGAAGTTGGGGATAAGGAGTTGGAGGGAAACGAGTTGGAAGAAGAGGAGTTGGAGGCGTAAGTTTGTGGATTTGGATGAAAGTGAGGATGAAAAAGATAAAGAGGAAGATGAGGATGAGGACAAGGAAGAAAATGCGGGGAAGGATGGGGATGAGGAGTGGGATCATGTTAGGAAGTTGATTTTGGCGGGTGAGGGTATTGCGATTGGCAGAGAGCCCTGCGAGTTTCATAAGGGCATGGTGTTTTCGTGAAGGGGCGATAGTTATTGATGATAGGACTGAAAATCGTGTTCTTACTGTATACTTAATGAGATTATCTGTTCTACCTCTAACGTTTTGGATTTCGTAGCTTAAGTGCCAGGTCCAGGGTTCGAACGCGAGGCTTTGCGGACATCAAGTTTCGCGATTCACCTGACATCATCGTAATATTTTAATTCAAGTTGCGCGTTTATTATAACCCTTTCCTTTATTCTCTACGCTGTTTCTAAACAGTGTGGTGTAGTGTAGCTGCCCGACAAAAGAGTGGAGTGGCAATTGGATGCAAATTGGATCGGTTGAAAAGGCTGGTCGTTATTATGGCCGCCGACAACCCCGATTCGTTCACGTTGTGTACTTGTCGAAGCTGTATCTCCTAGTTGGCGTAGCTGCAGGACAAGCCTGCATGCTAAGAGTGAATGGATTATCACTTGCCCTCTATAATGATATGAGAGGTGGTAGTGATGGCAGATGGCGGGAGGCTTACTCTGCAAGCCCGTGGTTCAAGAACCGGTCTTCGTTTGCCTTTGCCTAGTAATAACAACCAGAAACACGGTCAGTATGCCAGAATACTGGCGCTTAACAGCTACTTACGTATGCGAGGAGAATGGTAATTTTGACTGCCACCACCACTAAATGTGCCATAACATCTCTCAATACGGTGGTCTTTGTTTTCATAGGGAGGGGTAGATATGGGGCTCACCGGAGATTAGAAGATAGTATGCAACGCCGTCCCGGATGAGCCCTGGGACGAGACTTGTTATTGGCACATGGCGATACTTTGTGTACCCGAGCCATGACATTATGAGGACGAGTACTAAAGATGGTGCTTAAGCCTTAGCCTCATCCGGTGTGGTAAAGTGCGATGTGATGGGATTTCAATTGACTCACATATTCCACTGATGGCGAATGATATCGTCGTTCCGAAGATCAAACCGTCCACTACGTGCGTGGAAGCAAAGTCCACTATGCAGTGTGTTCCGGGGTGATGGTATTCGCGTTCTGTGGTGACTGGGATGACCAATGTCGATTAATCATATTAAGAAAGGGTATCGGAGGCGGCAGAGGAAGGGACGTACATCGTGCTTTGGTGATTGTCAATGTTATTGCAACGAGCTGGCCACCGTGTACAACCTACTATGCATTTATAAGTGGACCTTGATAAGCTGTAGAAGCGAAGACTAGTACTTGCAATGTACTGAAGAGAGAGGTAGTATAGCATTGGCCGGGCGTGTCCCGAGAACGCATAGACTCGGATGAACAGGATTGCTGTGCGTTTGTCCCGTGTAAGCTCAAGCCTGAGTGCAGTCGAAGCTGAAGGTCACACCTTCTGCACACGTTACAATCGTCAGTCCTGTCACTGGGAACATCCTTAAATGAGGCCCTATGTCTTATCGTCTGACAAGCATAATACTCACTTAGAGTAATGATGAGAGAGGTCCGGCAAGCCTCTTGCGTGGTTTTATCCCAAAACCTATCTAGATTTACAGTTACTACTTGACGGTGAGCAAGAATGCACAGACCACGCTCACCTTGGCATACCAGAACAATCTCAAGAAGCGAGAGGTAACGAGTAATGAGGAAGAGAGCTTTCACGAGGCTCCACCGCGTTTTCCAAACGTATTGAATCTGTGAGGGAGTCGTCGTGTTGGAATTAGGGACATCAACCTCCAGGTAGACGCTCACCTCGGATGGAAGTAGGTGGAGGTGCTCGACTATCTGCATATCCAATTTAAAGGTTAGGCTAGATTCTTGTATGGTGAACGGAATGTGTGGCGTACCAAAAGTGTCCAGCACGCCGCTGTGGAACGGAGGAGTATGAGATCAGTGCTCAACAGTGTAGTACTGGATATACGGACCTCGGAACAGCTATATCCCGAGCAAAAAAGCGTCAAATGTGGTAGAGTCACAGCGGGGACCAGCACTTACATTCATGGCGTAGAGGTGCCCAAGGTTTGCGGCGAACATAGCCTACAGTGGCCTATCTCTATCTTTGATGGTTAACTGAATTATGAAGAACCTGTATGTAGGCTGTGTGAGGATCCAGGCCCTCGGAAAGGCTTTAAGTTCCAACCAGCGGTGAAAGTTTTATATTTGTTGTCCCTGGAGACTTTCGGTCCCGAAGAATCGCCCGATCTTCTCGCGTATATGTGTTTCAGTCAGTCGCAGTTTTATGCACATATTAGGTAAAGTTGGGTCTCTGCATTCCTGCTAGCCTGTACATGGCGCTGATCTGGCATTCGGGGAAGGGATACGTTGGTTTGATGTTATGTGACATGATGCATCGCGTTTCCAAGAGCCGGCGCGGCCTATCATGATAGCGATGTACATTAGACGCCGGACAACGACACATGCTCTTTTGGATACCTCGTGCTTGGGATCCTGCGTTCAATTATGGGGCCAAAACTGTGCTGGAGATGGGACCGCCCATTATTGCCGCAGACCCGAACTTAACCAACGAAAGGGAAATCGACAGCAGCGCCTCACATGAAGTTCAAGTTGGGCACGGTTTCCTGTAAGTATTACGTTAAGGTGATAATCATTCTATGCCAAACATAGGAACCTAAGGAGAATTCCGTCAACCTTGTCCCCATGAAGAACAACTGCAGTATGTACAATCAATTTCGTTTTATGAGTCATGAATTGCGCAGGGGCCAATTGGTCGGTCGAGGCAGGTTTTCTTTCCGAGGGGTTGGCGGCCTGGGGAGGGATAGGACTTGGCCTTTGATTATAAAATGACACAAATTCGGACCAATCTGAACGGCTTGTTAGAGCGCCGCCACCTGACAACCGCAGTGCCGACCGGTTGCCCATTCACACGCCATATGGCGCAAGTAAGCAAAGCAATGTGCTGCAATCTGACAGAACCAAGGACTCTGCTAAACTAACCGGTACCTAAGTTTAACTGGAAGTAACGCTGAATAGAACAGGCTGAGCTTGTGTACATCCACCGGCTTAATTCAAGCGACTGGCTCAGAGTCCAGACAGAGTGGACCAATCTGGTCCTATCGGCCAAACCTTCTTGGTGAAACAGCTAGGTCACCGGGGATCTGCATCTTTGTATCAACTTGGCTGGTGTCTGGGCCTGTCGAGCTGAAGGCTTTTGCTGATTCCCCGCTAGCATGCCCGGGTTCTGAACTTTCTTGGCACGCTGAGGGACCTCCTCAACGAGGAAGAATTGGCGTTGGAGCCGTTGGTCCCTATATGTGAGTGTCATTGTATGAGGAGCAGGTGCAGCATTAACTTTCCCAATTCCCAACAGCTCGAATAAAGCGTCTGGTCCCTGAAAACGGGGCCAGAAACACAAACCCCTAAATCAGTCCCAGTGTCCACGATATTGATAACAAAAGACCCAATTCGGAACGGCTGAGTGATTTAATGTCATGGCCTGACCCTCGTTGTGGCTTGGACATTCACTTTTCTGGAGGCTGGGATGGGGTTCGAGTCAGGTTATCACCATATAATCGCTCTTCACGCCCTCGAGCCCATTCTTTCCTTCCTGGCTTCCCATGCTTCTTCTTAAAGCCTCCGGGATAATAGCGGAGCGACCGGCTGGCACTTCGTCGTTCCTTTCAATCCTGCGCCGCAGGATCGTGTACTACTTGAGCCTGAAACTAAACCTATCGTAACATTTGGAAAACTGGCAAAAACAAATGACCACCGCAGGACTCGAACATGCAACCTTTTGGTACCTGAGTTGTGTTAACCCATCGAAGCCAAACGCGCTACCATTGCGCTAGGCAGCCATGAATAATGGTAGCCCGGCGTCATCCTGGGCGAGTCTAAGGGCGGGCTATCACCTAATCTCATCTCGGAGACCTGATGTAAAATTCCAAACCATTTCAGCGAAATGTGAAAATGAATATATTTTCGCGATTATCGTTCTGCGGGATGAATTTTCTCTCCTCGCCGACGAATGATTAAGCGCCCGCGGCCAGGGAACGAAATGAGTGCTGATGCGGCATCATTCAATCACGCGATTCACCGATCGCTTCAAACTGAATTTTGTGCCTCCTGCCTCCTGCCTCCATTATCAACGCGTCTTCGAGTGCCTTTTCGACAACACAGAACGCAGAATTTTAGTCGCCTAATTCCATATACTTCTCAAAACCGTAAGTGCGAGCGTGATTATGTCACATCGATTGTGACTAGAACCGCAACATGCCACGGGTTCGAAAAGCTTAAACTGACACATTTCCTTTTTAACCTGTGGTCGTACACTGACCTTTGCTTCCAACCTCGATCATGGATCTCGACAGATTTGAAGATACTGCGACGTCGCGGACGTTGAATGACATAAAAAAAGTCACACTCAACAAGCCAGGCGATGTCCTACAGCTATTCGACTCCAACTGGTACATAGATCGTACGCGAGCAGCTCGGTGGATGGATCTGCTTGGAGATTATGCAGGAAATGAATTGTTTGTTATCGATGGTGTGTTTTTTCGTTCGATAAAGTCTAATAATTCTGCGCTAACCCTGGGCTGGTGAAGGTGAATCTCTTTTCCAATGCGTGCTCGACGACGCGCTTCTTGCTTTGGGAAAGAGCGAAGATGGTACGCGGCTACTCTCGATCTTGGCAACAAGTGCATTACTGATCCCCCGTAGATGGAAACTTTCAAGTTCTTCATGCGTATCACTTGCTGGAGAAGATGCTACACGAATTCGTGAGCCGGTCAGCAAACTTCGAAATCGTTTTCTTTCACAGTGAGTAGGATGCCAACGTTTTCCGATAACATCTCACTTACAGCGTTTGAAGAGTATCGCCACCTGACCTTATGTACTGGAGACGCCTCTTTCCGCGTTGCATCAAGGACCCTGGCTCGCACTCTATTGTTCAAGCACCTACTGAAGCTTAATCTGCCTGTTCACGTCTTCGACGACCTACAGGATCCACAGTGGCAAAAATACGAATCGATCAACAAGGTGGGATGCTCTTTCCTTTCATCTTCATACAATTTTTCTCATTCAGAGCCAGCCCATGTTTATCTTGATGAACGATGGAGGGATTTTCAATCTCTCGCAAGAAACAGGATCAATGAGACTGTTATGTCAAAGAAAATTTGTGTTCGACGTACTCAGCGGCCATATGGCTATGGCCCTGATGAAATCTGTCACCTTCGCTGACTCCAAGGTGCGTCATTTACTTGTACGAAAAAGTTAGGTCTACTAATTGACACTCTGGATAGATTTCAACCTTTGTTTACGAACCCAAACGAGGCCAGGGAAAGGGAAACAAGGACATGTTCTTCTCAAACCTCATGAACCGATGCATTCAGATCCAGATCGTTCTGGACGATCTTCTGGCTAAGCAATCTTATTCCTGCCGACACCATCTCGCCGATCTGCTTCCTTTCACTTCAGATGCCACCTCCCGCCACGACTTCATTCTCGCACTCTCGCAAAAGATCGTCAACACAACCGACTCGCCGATAACCCACACGCTACTATACCTCTTCTTAATCCACTGGTTTCACCTTCCGACGTTATCGGTTCAAGATCGAGCGCAGAATCCAAGACCCCTGGTCGGAAGGAATGCTAGCATATTCTGCAGCTCATTCCTTGTGCCGCTTTTCTTTACCTCTGCCGACCTACTGTCATCATTCAAGGGCGTCGAGTACGACATTGATGGCGGGGTATTTCTCGCGACTGTCGAGTTTCTCCTCTCCCAACCCTCAGAAAACGACATTCAGTCCGCAATCGGGCCTGACGTAAACGCAAATGTTCAGCGAATATGGAGTCAGCTCAAGACCACACTCCCCAACGTTCAGTCTTTGGTCGGAAAGTTGGCATTTATCCCCCAAGCTGCCGTCGTCGTGTCAACAACACCGCCTCTCAAAGTCCTTCCGTTTGACAATCCTATCCTCAGCCGCCACCTTCCCCAACTTACGAATGTCGAAAGCAGAGCAGTCGTCACCAGCCCAACAGGAAAACGTCCGTTCCTCGAGTTCGGGACGGGCATGATCTTCTCCGATACCCGTCACTGGCACAATTCAAAATCGATACTCCCTCCGCATCTCGGCGGCGCTCCGCCTAAGAATCTGGATGCAAGGTCCCGTCTGAAGGCACTGAAGAGGAATCAGCAATTCATGTACCATTTACAACTCCAAGCTGCGACAATCACTGGAGCGTTCGGGAACATCCTGCGACAACAGGTGATCCCGCCCGTTGGCAAATCTTTATCAATGATCTCGAAACTGCACCTCAAACAAGGGAGCTCGGTAAGTGGACCTGAATCATGACTCGTTGACGTCTCTGACTTGCAAGCAGAACCAGGTCCGATCGGAGGTGGTATCGAAAGGCGGCAAGAAACCGAAGAATCCCAAGCTATCTTCGAAGCAAGCCCTGTTGCAGCAAATCCACAAAGAAAAGACGGAACAGACGACGGACGTCTCGAAGGTGTGGTGGAAGGAGAAACTCGGGGCGTTCAGCAAGCTCAGCGTGGAAACCAAAGTCACTGAGGTCAACGCGCTTTTCAGGAACAAGCGAACGGAGGAAGAGTACCTTGGTCTGGAGATTCGTTTCTATCGCCTCCATCTCGAGATCCAGCTTTGGTCGCAGGAGCCAGACCCTGCGAACCCATCCACTCACGACAAGTATTCCGTGTCAATTTTGAAGCTGGTCAGGGACATATGTCGGCGGGGGGTCCTTACCAGTGCTTGGTCAGAGACCCTGTCCACGTTGATGAAGGTTCTTGGTTTGGATCGGTATTTTGCGGACATGGTAAAGGGGGTCAGAGTCTTGGAGGACGTCAAGCCGTCGTTCAAATTCACCAAATTGGTCAGCTCTAGGTCTGGTGAGGCGGCACACGACTTCATGCCTATCAAGGAAAACACGATCGAGTGGCAGCTGAGGCTGTTTGGAGAGTACATGGATCGCAGCATGGACAGTGCACCGGATCCTCGAGTGCCATTTGAACCCGATGCATGGCAGCGCAAGGTCTTGGATTGTATTGACGACAACCACTCCATTCTCGTCGTTGGTGAGTTCTCTATCTTGCTCTTCTGGTGTGACTATTGTTGACAGCTTGTGATTGCGCGTTCGATTAGCTCCAACGAGCGCTGGCAAAACGTTCATCTCTTTCTACGCTATGGAAAAGGTCCTCAGGTCTTCGGACGATGGGATTATCGTGTACGTGGCCCCAACCAAGGCCCTCGTTACGCAGATCACAGCGGAGATATACGCCAGATTCAGCAAGCAGATGGATGGCAGTAAGTCCTGTCCGTTATTTCAGTTTCGTTCAGTATATTGATCATGTCCTAGACTCGTGCTGGGCGATACACACTAGGGACTATCGGATCAATGACCCTCAAAAATGTCAGATTCTTGTCACAGTTCCAGAAATTCTCGCAATCATGTTACTCTCTCCGACTTTGGCTTCAGTCTGGACACCAAAGATCCAAAGGTAAATTTGCCATATACGAATTATTAGATTGATCTAACATTGAATCGAAAGAATCATCCTGGACGAAATCCACTCGATTGGTCACCAAGAAGGAGGGGCGGTATGGGAGCAAATATTGTTGCTCGCTGCCTGCCCAATCATGTTTGTCATCCGGGTTTTCTGTCGAACCTCAATCTGATTACTCTAATCATCTAGCGGTCTTTCTGCGACAATCGGCTCTCCAGAGAACTTTAACGATTGGCTGGCGTCCGTTCAAAAAGCACATGGCTTCCAGCACACATTCATTCGGCACCCTCACCGCTACTCCCATCTCCGCAAGTTCTTCTACGTCATCAACGACCAAAAGCAGGATTTCGTGTCGCTGGAACAGCATAGCTCGACCTCTCGTCTCAAGTTCATCCATCCCATCAGCACCCTTTCGCTTGGGAGGAACGCCGTTCCCGACGATCTTGCACTCGAAGCTCGAGATTGCTTGACCCTCTTCCGTGCTCTCGTTAACATGAAGAGCAAGCTCTCGGATCCGGCGGTCCTCCGGGAACTCGAGGAACTCGTACCCGGAACGTTCTTTGCCGCCGAAAACCATCTTCTGCGCCAGAAGAACGTCCTGGCGTACGAGGCCAGACTCAAAGCCGTTCTCGGTGGTTTGGCGCGGGATATAGAGTACGGCGAAAGCAACAATGCGTTGCTTGATGTCGTCAGGACGCTCCGGGATCCAGATTTGGAGAGGATCGGCCCCCAGAAATTGAATGCGCATCCTGATCGAAAGGCGTTCCTCGACAATCTTCTTCCCCTATTCGCTGATCTGCACGCTGTAGGGAACTTGGTGCGTGCAATGTATTGTCTTCAGTTGTTGTGCCTGTGCTAACGCGGTACATGTTTTAAAGCCGGCCATCGTGTTCAACTTCGCTAGAAACGAATGCGAGCTCCTTGCCCGGCATTTATGCCAGCAGCTGTTCAAAGCTGAAGAGAAGTGGAAGGCGACCAGCGTCAAGTGGAAGCAGAAGATGGCGCAGTGGGAGGCGTGGAAAGCTGCGGCCAGGGACAGGGAAAGGGCTGCGCAGAAATCGGCGGGCCTGAAACAAAAGAAGAAGAAGGGGCGTTCCGATGAAGCGAATGTGGAAGAACCGGCGCAGGCTCCGTCTGGCTCCTGGGAGGAATCCTTCGATCCGGATCGACCTTTGCCTCAGTTCTCGTTTGTTAATCTTCAATCGTCCTATTCGGTTGCAGAAGTTGAGGAAGATTTCGAGAAGGAGATGAGGTACCAGAGGTATCGCAAGGGCAAGTCGGGTATTGCGAGGATCCAGTGGATTTTCGACTGCCTTCGAAGGGGTATCGGTGTGC